AGCGCGGGTACGTGACATATATCGTAGTAGAGCTGGCAGGCAGGGCATGATCAGGGGTTCAGGCCCTGCCTGTAAGCGCTCTGATTGGCTCAAACCCTGGCAACAATCACGTGACATGTCTGAAAGTACAAGTAGTTGCGATTTATGCTGAAGTTCAAACTGATGGAACACGTGCAGCGCTACACCATGAACCGTGTGGAAACAAAAAGAAGTAGCAGGGGCGTAGCAGCCGCTCCGGCCGGTCCGGCTTTGGCCGGACCACTTTTTCGCCCGACCACGACCACCATAGTAAAACAATGCCAAAAATGCCCAGAATGCAGGATTTTGTACCCTAATTTCAAAAACATTTAGGGGGGAGATCTCCCCGAACCCCCCCCCCCCCCCCCCCCCGGCCGGACCACCGCCAACGGCGGTGCTACGCGCCTGAGTAGAGGAGACACGGGATAACAGACATGAACTCAGGGTCAAACTGATAACTGTGAAACGTGAATGCATGCAGTATATGGAGACAAAACAAAGTCACAGAATTCAGTACGTAACAAGTACTACACACTAACCTCGTACATGTGAATGTCACGACACCATATGAATTAGCCCTTACACCCCACTTATGTTTCAGTCAGTAAGAGTACACATGCGTACTTACGTTGACTCCATTTTATCTGACTTGTCCAACACCATCGTTGTGAGCCTTCGGCACTTGGGAATACACAGGACAGATAAGATAGCAGCAAGAGCATCTCCCCGCTCTGTGAACACAGCTCAGACGCCACGCTTCATGAGTGTGTGCCCATGGAATACAAGGACACAACAGACTTAGTGCAGCTAACGAAATGGATGAATGGTCGACGGCCTGAGTGTTCTCCTTCCTCGATGAACACTGACAGTCACCATATACCATGCTTGATGTTTCAAGCACCATCGGCGCAGGCCACGTTTTTCGGCACCGACGATTTGTTCGTCCACCAAGTCGAAACAAATGTTTCTCACTTGAACACTCCGTAGAGCCGCCGCTGTTGTGCCAAGGCCCATTGGCGCATGGTGTGTATACTCCAAATCTACATGTATGATGATGGGCCACTGCTGACGTTTCTGCTCTTGGACAGTGCAACGCCGCATGAAGATATGTTGTGGCTCCACAATCGCTGAGAACGCTAGTGTGCGTCCATGGAATACTAAAACACAATAGGCGCAGCGCAGCTAACGCCCACTTGGATGAATCGGACGACAGTGGTGGTGAGTGCATTCTCCTTCCTCGGTGAACACTGCTGGTCACCCCGTTTGATGATCCACCAAACACCATCGGTGCAGGCCACGTTTTTCGGAACCAGCCATTTATTCGTCCACCAACAATTGAAATTAATGTTTCTCACTTGAACACTCTGTAGAGCTGTCGCTGTCGTGACAAGGCCGTGTATACTCCAAATCTACACGTAGGATGAAGAGTAACAGTTACTGCTGATAATGAAGTTTGCGCTCGTGGACAATACAACGCTGTGTGAAGTAAATTGTGGCTCCACAATCGCTCTGAATGCTAATGTGTGTCCATGGAATACTAAAACACAATAGGCGTGGTGCAGCTAACGCCCAACGTGGATGAAACGGACAACAGCAGCGGCTAGAGCGTTCTCCTTCCTCGGTGAACACTGCTACAAGACATTATGCTTGATGATTCACCAAACACCATCGTTGGGGGCCAAGTTTTCCGGCACCACTGCGAGTTGTCCGTCCACCAACTAACTAACTTTGAGTCATTCTTCAACACTTCGTAGACCAGCCGCGCAAGGCCTTTCCTTCGCGTTAGGGTAGCGATCCTTCCTAGATGATATCGCTATTCATTGTTACTTTTTACTACAATGAGTAGTGTTTCTCCGAAAATAAAGTCAGCTGCCATTACGCATTACTGTAGGCATTATAACTAGTGCGCCTAGGCCATAGCCTAGCGCCTGGACTTGTAAAAATTAATTTTGCAAGTCTTCAATCTGACAATCATGTAACATTGTTTGCATGTACTATGTACGCGCTATCCAGCCATGTGGCGTGAACAGATTGCTTGACGTGAAAGGTAGCGAGTCGAGTCGTACGCGCGCGCTCGCGGACGTGTCTGACACGTGAAACGAAAAGATTTTTTTGGCGGGTAGTCGGCAAAAATTAAGTGACGGTCCCTTTAGTAGGGTGTTCGGACGATTTTGAAAGTTGCTCCGATCTCCTCGATTTTAGTCTCATTAGAAAGAGTAGGATAAACTAGCCGGGAAATATATAAGGTTTGTCTAAATCCGACCAGACGTTCAAGAGTTATGATCGTTTGAAGTGCGCTTGTTGGCACTTTTGCTGGAACAGTTTTGATGCAGGCCAGTGGCACAAAACCGGGAAATTCAAAACCAACTAGAACAAGGTGAAAATCAATTTCGTTCAGGGTCTTTCAAATTTTCAAAGATAATAGCCAATAGAGAGCTTCTATCACTTGACCAATTTTTTTGGTATTCCATCTAGCCAAATTCAAATTACGCCCATAGCAACCACCATAGCAACGCATACAAATTAGTGGAAATAGATGCGAAAGATGTAACCCTTCACAGGCTGAAGCTAATTGGAATACGGGTACTACAAAGACGCATCACCAGGAGGAGATTACAGTTATCTACCCCATGTAGATGAAGCATCCAAGAAAATAACATACGCACTCAGCCGAGACGGCACCCGCACCCGGGCATGTTGCGCCGCGGGACCGGATGCATGCAGCCAATTAACAGGTATGCTGCACCATTGCAACACGATGTAAGCTTCAGCCAGACCAAGGCAGCAACAGTCCTGCTAATCATCAGCTTTAGAAGGACAACTTGTTCCCAGTCATATACGGCGCGTGCAGCACTTCGGGGCAATTGGTGTCGCACGTCACATGTAATTCATTCGTACGATTTGCACAATCAACAGACAGTTCATTTATCGGATGATTGTGCAAGCGTAATTTGGATGTAAATTATAAAGTCGACAAATACACTGGCCCTACATTGCCCATGCTATGTGGATGACAATGTACTCCAGACACGGTGCATACGGCATAGTGTAGCTTCACTGCGTTAGCGCGCTGCAATTATGCAAATCCTCAGAGTGTCAATTCTGTGCAGATTTTCAGCTGCATATTGAACGCAGTATTGGCAGGAAATCTGTTCTTGACCAATTTGTCTCCACAATGGCTTTCTCCACTCTCCATATACAGCGACCAGAGGTTTATCTGATGTGGTAGCTCAGCGAAACTACAAATAAACAGCACTACAGCCAAGTCCATCAACTCCATGTACATGTACATGTACTCCATACATTTGGTATCCTGGCGCAAATCGATCGCTCATAGAACAAGAAGACAGCATCGTACAGCCTCCAAATTTCACACACTGCGTAGTTTTTCGACGCTGAAGACGATGGAATGGTCGCCGGCGTTGCGACCGGCCCAGAACAGGCCGAAATCGATACCCTGAAGTTGCGCAGGGCGTAACATTGCTAAAATTCGTCGTGTGGAAACGGGACTTACGGTCTCAACAGCAGAGACATCTCCTCTTTCCAACAAAGAAACAAACTCGTCCTGAGCTGCTAAAATTTTACCTTGCCTAGGCAAGAAGCACAGTGATGTACGATTGTGCCACGGACCCCGTACAAAACTGTTTCCACTCAAAATGCGCCTGGGTTCGAGGCACCGAACACCCTACCTTTAGTCCTTCGCGTCAGAGAAAGCCTGCATAAGCGCCATGGCAACACAAGGAGCTCCAAATCCGTCTCTGTGGCAACGGATTCAAACTTGAAGCGCCTACCGGGATGTGGCACTTCGGAAGGACTCTTGAATCGTCGTTGCTGCTTGTTGCTTGATGATGTGAGTCGAGTCAGTGAGAGAAGTGTCATTCCTTTCTTCCAGTTGGTGCTGACAATTTAGTAAATTTAGTTGAGAGCTCTCTGCAGCAAGTACAGAGCCGATAAAGTGCATCATGGGAACTACGTCGAGTAAGAACTCCACTGCTACGCAGTCGCAGGACAAAGCTGGAGCTGGCTTCTCAACTCCAGTGAGACCCATGCCCGAAAACAGAGGTGCGATGTTGTTGGACGATCCTCGATCGCCTGGTCAACTAAATCGTACGCCAATAGTGGTGGAAGGTGCTCCGGCTTGTGGTACTGGATTGGTCGACCCACGGTCACCCGGCGCTGGTGAAGTGTCACGAACTCCATTACGCACTGGTTTGCAACAGGCCAGCAAAGAGAATCGACCAGCTCCGCCGTTGGCCAAAACCAGTGGCGATCGCAGCAATGGACCCATGCTCGTAGATAACAACAACAGGTACTGAGGCAAAGGAGGCTATAACAGTACGAACGCATCACACACTTGTCTTGAGTTGGCTGCCTCTTGCCTTGCTCGCTGATGCTTTTAAGGCCACGAGTCGCTGCACACAGTCGCCTCAGTGTCTTGTACAGCCATGTCACAAGGCTATCATTCTGCCTGCTGCTGCTGCTATCACCAGAAGAAAGCTACCACTTACCAGCTTGTAGTGAGTTTGGAATTTTGTCATGTTTGAGTCTTGATTCATAACAATCTACATGTAGGGTCATTATCATTAATATTCAATTTTAACTCCATGCCTTTGAAACCATTCCATGCATCCGTCACTGAACGTAATTAAATTCACAAAACAAAGTAGAGCAGCGCACAACAATTTCCGCACTAGGTTTTCCAATAGAATGTAGGCTATTGCTGAGCACAATGATGCTGTGTGATGTAAAACTGAATGCTTTGTCTGCGCACAGACTCGCCCTGTTCCTACTGCTTCATAAGTTAGCAGCTGGCTGTGATCCAATTGTTAACTTGTTTTTTTGCCCCACCCCTATGCCTATGGCATATTGCACAACTCTTTCTTCTCTTTTTTTACTTTACGCTATGAGGACCAGTGTCTTTGGTACCTAGTAGCATTGTTAACATCTCTAACCATCATGCGAAAACGAAAAGACAACCTGTGTTGGTCTGGAGCTTGCTCACAAGTGCACTGTCTGGTACGACAATCTCCTAATTATTTTCGGATTCTGAACTTGAAATAGAAATGACTATGAACATAAGCGGTGAGCCATAAAAAATTCATAATGATAAAATGACAGGAAGTCGCTCACACACACGGGCGAAAACAGCAATGGCAGTGCATCTACTGAAGGCGTAAGATAATAGTAGTGTGATAATGCTGCACGGACAGAATGTGGAGTCACTAGAGAACTGATGCTGTGAGTGCCAGCTGTGTACATGATGTGAAACGGAGTTACAATGTAGTACTACATGTATCGACTTATGTACTGTAGCAGTGATAGTACTACATGTATCGACTTATGTACTGTAGCAGTGATAAAGGAACGGGTGGGTGAAACAAAAATGAACCCAAATATGACAAAACTAGCCACTGAGTGCAGTGGCATGGTGCTATGTGCCATCTACACTTGCATAGCCAACTGGATTTTGTTAGAACAATTTAAATAGTCTTCAAGGAGAGGAGAACAACCCAGACACACTCACAGCCACACTGGCCGCAAAGGAAGCCCACACGCACACACACACACAAGCACATACATCAAAAGAGAACGCGTGCCACTACTACTACTACTGTGACTAGACATTATCAGAAAAGAAAGCCAACGTGGGGAGCTAAGACCTGTTGCCAATAATAGATGCCAGCGCTGGACTGTCAACAGGTGCATTGGTGACCAGAACGCCACCGAATACATGCGTTCCCCACTTGGGATGGCTCAGGCACTTGCAGCAGCCCAGGTCTTCAACAGTGTAGCCAAGGTGCCTCATGCGCTCGTCCGTCTCCGTTAGTGTATTATTTGTGTGGGAAGCATAGAACTGCAGGGACAAGTGTCAAACACAGTATAGATATGAACATACCTGTTGTACAGGATGCCGTAAAGTCGTGTATACAGGCCGTGGCTTATATGACGCTTTTGAGGAACTTTTGAAGGCTTCTACATGAGACAAGCTTCTATACAAGACAGGTGTTTCTATGTGTGTCAACACTAAAACCAGGCTTATGTGCCGACAGTATCTTGAAAATCAGGCTTCTATTCAAGTCACACGACGAGACAAAGCCAGCTGTGAACCTGATGAGGCCTTTCGTACCATTACTTCTCAAATGAGTACATGTGATATTAAAGGTAATGAAGCACGATGTCAATGTGTACAGCGTATTGGCGGTGAAGTGGTGATGAAACGTACACAGGTTGAATGATGTTTTTTTGTACTCTTTGGCAAAATTAGCACCATCATTCAACCTGTGTACGTTTCATCACCACTTCACCGCCAATATGCTATACACATTGACATCGTGCTTCGTCACCTTATCACCATACAGTCAGACCTCGCTTATCCGGTCCTCTTTTATCCGGATCCCTCGCCATCCGGATCGTTGGTCACCGATTTACAGCATATGCGATGCATACATACAGTATGTGTGTTCGATTATCCGGTTCCCTCGCCTATCCGGATACTTTTGTGGAAAACGGATGTGCGCGGTTATGCGAGGTCTGACTGTATCGCCATGTACTGGTGTGAGAAGTAATGGTGCGGAAGGCCTCGTCAGGTTCACAGCTGGCGTTGTCTCTTCGTGTGACTTGAATAGTCTAATGTGCAGGTAGAAGACCGGACACGGGACACTTCACATCTAGAAACGGGCAGCACCCCCAGGTGAACACAATCATAGATGATGTAGTCTTCATCAGGTAGAAGAAAAGATACTTCGCACATAGGGACCGGTTTATAGGAGGGGAAAAAATGAGATACACAGAAAGAGACTACGTACCGCTCGGCCCGAGTGAGGATCGACAAAATCAGCCCAGTACCCTGCTGCCATCAATTTCCCACATGCCGACTTCGCTATCACCAGGAACTGAATGGTACAGAAGAAACAACAGAGTGAGGATTATACTCAAAACGGAAAGAAACATTCAAATAAAAGCAAAAAAACATGAACCCAAAACTTCTCCCGTGCATTGGTGATCCGCGAGTCTTCCTTGACGGCATATAAAAGTGCATTTACGCTTCAAGCACTCCATCTAGCATAAGCATGGGCCGTGCCAAAATCATTTCTAGCGGCAAAACGACTATCTCTAGTGGCTCTTTTGGTACGCCAGTGGCGGGCCACTTACAGCAAGTGGCTAACATCTACTTGTAATCATGTCAATAAACCCACTGTGAGCAGTGGGTATCACTGATCAGTGTTCTGATGGTCTGTACAACGTGCAGCCGTATCTGGTTGAGTCTTCCACCGGCCCTGGGCTTTTTTTCCCTGGCCCGATGGGAGAGCATCGTCATCGTGCATGTAACCTTCCGAAGGCTATGCTCAACCCTGGTTACTGTACAGTAAATCAAGCTGCACCAGCCTGGACCGGCAGTGCGAATACAGCATCAGCATCAAGGAGCCGCCTACACGGATGCAAGCAAGTGCCCACCACGGGCAATCACCTGCCCACAACAGAATTTCATATGACGTCTGTACAAATGAAGAGCCCTTGCAGACTGCTCTGCTCACTTGTACTGGTAGCACAGGGCTGTACAAGCACAGGACATGTGCGGATACTGTTTACGGATCATGGCGTGGGTTAGTAGGAATGTACGAGCGGGTTCTGGGCCAGGGGGCGCCCGGGTCCCAAAAAATGGGGTATTATTGAAAAATGGGGTACTAATAGTACCCCATTTTTGCGGTGAAAATAATTTTTGGCCCGGTTTTTTTGCGGATAAAAATATGTGCCAGGGGGTGCCCTGACCCCAAAAAATGGGGTATTATTGAAAATATGTGTTGTGCACATGTGGGTTTGAATCTCACTTTTTTGGGCCACCTTGCCCCGGATGGGAGTGGGTATAAAAAGTAGAATGTTGAATATGGTGTTTATCATGAAGTTTTTTCCGTGACCTACCCCACCTCCCCATGCAATTTTTCAAAAATGGTCCTGCTCGCACACACGTCAGAAAGGTCAGTTCTTGATAGATACGATACATGTCATTACAAAGAATAATGGAACGAACAGTGAATATCGCAATGGAGTGGAGGAGAAAGGTAGTACAATTCAGTTCTTGTTGTCCTGATTTCATCAAGCTGGTATTGGATGAGAGACCACAAAGTTTACTCTTCGAATACGTGTGAGGATGGATTCACCCATGATCTCTTCCGTGACACGCAGTACGAGGTGGAGTTGTCGGACGCTCTGATGTGCACCAATGGTTCCACCCAGTCAGCAATGGAACTGTCAGTCGACGACCTCCTTTGCACCGCCATCGTGTCAACAGTCGACTCGGGTAATTTGGAGATAAATCCATCGTCGCCGATGTCGATCGTACCAACTCGCACACGAATCCGCGTTACTCTTGTTGCAACGGCACGGAGTTGAACGGCCTTGGTACTACGTCGTACACGCACACGATCAACTCGAGAGACTTCATTTTTCGTTCACCTCCTTGACAAGTTGCATTACGTCGCTGGAATCCAAATAGGTTGCATCAGCGAAGAGGTCGATGATGTGTTGAGAGCACGGTTCGTCACGCATGTCACTAAGCTTGTAGAATGAGTGTCTACCATCAGTCCACCTTCGCAGTATGACACCATCATCAGTCTCACTAATAGTTCCGTAGTCCTCCACACCACCGATGACGATTTTAGGAAGGTGCTGTTTCCTATTCTTCACATTCAAGATCAGACTGGTGACCCTGCAGATAATATACTCAGCAGCAGTGAGTGGTGACATATCGAATCTTCTGGGATGTGCTATCATCGGGTCAAGATCCCTGGTTGTCTTGCTAGCACTGAGGCGACGGATTGAGAACTCTTCATTATCGCATGAAAATAAATACCATTTCTCTGCTCTGCACGTCTCAGAAAATGTCCACGCCATTTTAGCTTCTTCACACTGCAAGAAGGAGTCGATAATGAAACTGCAGGTTGAGACTACTTCACCTCGAGGTCAAAGTTCACGCCGCGATGACCTTTGTAAACAAGGCTACGTCTAGACGTCTCAAACAAGACCAAGGGGTCACGCCACGGGGAGGTGACGACCTTGGAGAACACGATGTGTTTCGAAAGCGGAAAGACGCCCCCGTCATGGTGAGTCTTTTTTGTTCGGGTTTGGAATCTTTCGACTATGATATCAGATTGAGATGTGAATGCCTTTCTTCTATTGAAAGGTCGATGAGACGGAGGATTTTTCTAGCTTTCTGCTCATATAATTCTTACTCTCATAGTACTTGATTTTCATATATTTTCAGGGGTGGAAATACGTAAGGCACACGGACCATGGATGCGCACATCATGGAGTGTGCATTGACGTCACAGTGGATTGTAGGATGCATCATGTACCACACAAACACACACACACACACATGCACATAATATACATACACTGTGCAATGACATCACAGCGAACTGCACGATCGGTGGATGCTATACATATACGGAATTCCGTGGTCTCTTCTCACACAGAGATGGTAGAGAGGAATTCAAAAGGAATCTTGGAAAGAGGACTCAACTGTCAATAGAGCGATATTCCCCGCTCGGAGCACGAATATTCCCCGGGTCTTGCGACAGAGTAAATAAGGGAGATGTTAGTGCTGATCACGCTCTATTTGGGATAGTACATGGGATAAATGGATTATACCATTCGTACTCTGTGCATACCGTACCCATTATATTTTCAATCGTGCTGACGCACTCATGAAAATATCTAGCGGTGTACCCCTCGTACCAAGAGTACATGTACTCTTGCTCGTACTCGTGGGATAATCGATACATGTCTTAGTGCTGATCGCGCTCTATTTGGAATAGTACATGGGATAACTGGATTATACCATTCGTACTCTGTACATACCGTATCCCTTATATTTTTCGTCGTGCTAACGCACTCGTGAAAGTGTCCAGCAGTATACCCCTCATACTCATGCGATAATTCTCATGAACGCCATCAGCTTGTACATAGCACTCAATCATTTATTTTTTATTTTTCATTATGAATGACATTGTGAATCATGACCGAAGACTGTTCACATCCTTCTTTGTGAGCCAGGTATTGAATTTATTATCTGTGTAGCCTTTCCATTGCACAAGACGTTGATCCTTGTTGTATTTTAACACCTTGTCGAATCTCAAACCGGTCTCTCTGGCGTGTTGCAGTTCTGCTTCGTAAAACGATCCGATGATGTGTTCTCCCATCAGATCACGAATCCTGTAGGTGTGTGGTGATGTTGATAGGATTTCATCCACCTCGAATACTTCCTCCGTCCAGTTCGCAGTGTAGCCCTTCTCGAAATGACGCTTAGATACGGTTAGGCGCACCTCGTCACCCACTTTGAACTTGGGTTTTGACTGCAGGGGGTCTTGTTGATCTGCATCTTTTGGTATTCTACCGTTCGATGCTTCGTGAGGTGTCATCCCAATGCTTCTATGCTTTGACTGGTTGTAGCGGTCTAGTAGATGAGGTAGGACATTGAGGTACCTGTTCGTGGATTTCTCTGTAAAGTGACGCCACATTCTTGCCTTCAACGTTCTATTGAAGCGCTCGACCACCACCGCTTTACCCTCGTTATGGGTGCTGTACATGATGACGTTGTGTTGTGATAACCATCTGACGCCACATTCTTGCCTTCAACGTTCTATTGAAGCGCTCGACCACCACCGCTTTACCCTCGTTATGGGTGCTGTACATGATGACGTTGTGTTGTGATAACCATCGTTTCATGGGGGCATTGTAGAATTCCTTGCCTTCGTCTACCCAGAGTTTTAGCGGTGTCCTTCCGGATGTACTGACAATCTTATCGAACGCATCTCTCACGGCGGTACCCGTCTTCGATTTCAAAGGCATTGCCCAGGCATAGCGGCTGTATAAGTCGATGACTGTTAGCAGGAATTTGATGTTCTTATTGCTTCGGGCAAACCGTTGCATATCCACGAGATCTGCACTCCATATATGGTCAATTGCTCTGCTCTTCACCTTGCGTCTTTTGAAATGCACTCGTCTGGGCTTGTGCAATTCGTTAGCCAGTTTCGTATGGAACTGTGCGGGTTCTGTCTTCTTCTTCCGTCTTCCATCCTGAATTGCCTTTTGCACTTTGTTGTCCCAAAAGGCTCCAGCACCTTCCAGGGCACCTGAACTGAGAACCAGTTGATCGTTTTCCAGCTTTTCGTCATCATCAAAGACTCTTCGGAAAATTCGAAGTGCTTCATCCAGACCATATTTGGAAAATAGCTTTCCCATCAATATGGCATACCATCCACATACTGCTGTGCTTCTGTCTTGAACGGCTTGGGTGTTGGTGATGATCTTACAGTCTGCGTAGGCTTCTTTAAAGAAATCGCACAGTGCAGGTTCAGTGTAATCTTGCTCCATAGTGTATAGACTGCGTCCGAAACTGTCGAAAACCAGGATCACGTTTTGCTCGCGACACACGGTCAACCAATGATGTCCGCCTTCCGTTGCATCGTACACCGGTAGAACGTTGTCGGTGTTGACGATACAAAAGTCTCCATTGTTCAAGGGTGGCAAGAGGTCGTAACTCGTGCAGCCCACGAACCCTCCGACACCATTCAATCTTCCTTTGATATCGGCACTGCTGAGAGGATAGTCCATTCTTGATCATAGCCTGAAAATATTTGGCACGTGATCACATGGAGCGTCCGCTCAGGATATCCTTGATGATACGAGTGATCCTGCTTTTGTCCTTCAGCACCTGTTGAATGAATGATGCATCGTCCACCATCACCTTTTGTGCTCTGATCATGAAATGCTCGGGATGGATCAATTTTGCTTCTGTTGTTCTACCATAGGTGGAAGTCATATCGTTGAGATCTTGAAACTTGAGCTGTGATCCCGGTATAGCTATCACAAGGGTGGTTAGTTCCTGAAT